AATCTGCTCCCTCGACTTTTTTCGTTTTTGCCCTTTGCACACACACTTCAACTGAAAAAGATTGATACCTATAGATCTGACTCCGCCCACTTAACAATGAAGTTACGTAAGTTCTGAATTTTTATAACTTTTTTCGACGTAGTTCTTTTCACATCCAATCTTCACAAAACGAATAACCATGCACAGCACACCAGCCCCGCCCCTCTGACCCCGCCACTTGGGTGTTTATCGCGGGAATTTTGGTTTCTTGCTCCGGATTCTTTGCTGTTTATCTTTAGCGTATTGGCTCGCATATGGAGCTTCGCCCCTTTAGGAAGCCCGCCCGCTTAATGAAGCTCCACCCACTTTGGGGAGCCCGCCACTTTTCGAAAATGATGCAAATCGGCGGGCTAGTGTCCGTACTGGCGGATTACGGCCTCTCCCGGCACATAGAATAAAAAAAAGGGAAAAACCGGAAAAAGGAACTTTGAGCGAGTAACTGAGAGGCCGTAATCCGCAGTACGGACACTAGCCCGCCGATTTGCATCATTTTCGAAAAGTGGGCGGGCTTCCATTAGTGGGCGGAGCCAATCGCTAAAGCTTAAAAAGCAAAAATCCGGGAGAAAAACCAAAATTCCGCGATAAACACAAGTGGGCGGGGTCAGAGGGGCGGGGCCTGGTGTGCTGTGCATGGTTATTCGTTTTGTGAAGATTGGGATTGTGAAAGAACTACGTCGAAAAAAGTTATAAAAATTCAGAACTTACGTAACTTCATTGTTAAGTGGGCGGAGTCAGATCTGTATAGGTATCAATCTTTTTCAGTTGAAGTGTGTGTGCAAAGGGCAAAAACGAAAAAAGTCGAGGGGAGCAGAATGAAGCATCTCGGAGAACCCTATGCGCTGAGAATGTGGGTGAGCGGATAATGGGGGCGGCCTTGCAACAAGTCTAGTGTCGGTCTTGGTTTCAGCCACTATTGTAGAAGGTGTGTGTCCGTTTGCATTGAAAAGTTGTTCGATTTGAGTTGTGAAAATGTGTCGCGGATTTGATTTTGAAAAGTGTCAATCGGTTTGAAAGTGTCCAATTCGGTGTGAGAAAGTGTCCGATTTGTTTGAAAGTGTAAAATTCGATTTGGTATTATGAAGTGTCATTATAAAAGGTGAAATGTATACATGCAGTCCTCTTAGCTACAGATGCGGGGGCATGTCAGGAGACTGGGTCGGACCAGCCACTTTCCATCGAGTGATGTCGCTTGCCCTCTCCGAGAACTGGTGGCGCGGACAAACCTTTTACAATTCGGCCTCAAATTCTGCCGAGCGAAAGATATAATATACTAGCGGAAGTTTCTACCAGAACAATAGCTTCCGGATCATTATATACACAGCTGTCAGTTCAGAAAGTTTTCTTCCTTCAGTTTTACTGGTGAAGGAAGAAAATGTAGAAAAGAAACCACTACTGAGCATGGTTGTGATCATGTTGAAAAGGAGAAAATGAACTAACCTGGATAGGTGCTTTGATCGAGCAGACCTTGAATACCTCCTGCTCCAAAGGAGGTGATTCCCACTTGAACCAGTCTACCAAGGGGATCTCTAACAAGTAAAGGACCTCCACTGTCACCCTGAAATCAAAGAGTCATACAATGCCTCAGAACGTGGAGCGGTTCGCTTGCCGACAGGCGTGATGATGTACGTCAGCGTGGCCCGGTTGTGGGCAGGGGTGAAATATGTAGCTGCTTTCAAAAAACTCACTGCAGAAGTGCGTCGGACCGCTGATTCACTTTTGCTAAACTGTTCTACAGGGTGTAGTGCGAAAGTTCCACGTTGCAGCTACGCGCAGCAACAAGCTTATTTCCGAGCTAGCTCATTTCACATTCTACTGCATTTCTACTTCAAATAATGTCAGTCCTGGTGCGAGTGCCGCGCTTGTGACACCACATATAATGCCGTGGCTGCAAGATGGAACCCCTTAGTTGAATATTCTCCCTGCCCACTGAAACTTCTGAAAATAAGGACCACCTCACATGATCATGAAACCACTGCATCTGGAACGATATGTCTGAAAAAAGACGTACTTCACGCTCGTCCTTTGCATGGAGCCAGGCCTATAGTTGGCCGTTCTCAAGGCCCGCCCGCTTCTCAACCTTCCATTATTCTTCTATCCTTGAGAAAGGAGCAGAAATGAGGTAAGTAAAATGAAAATATACGACCAAAAGCCGCCGTCACCTTTAAATGGAGTACACAGCCACGCCTACCCCAGCTCAAACATTTGGACTATATATGCAGTTCTCTTCGCTGCGGATGCTGGGGCATGTCAGGAGACTGCGGTCGGCGTGGGACCAGCCAATTCTCCATCAACTGTTGTCACTTATCGCTTCAAGAATTGGTGGAGGCTTGACATGGACTGGCGCCGCGCCACCAATCCTTGAAGCGGGCAAATGACACGCGGTAAGCCTGGCCTGCCTCATTTAACGAGCGTGGAACGTGCCCTCAGGCTGCATATGATCCGGTAAACTTTAAATCATCCTACCGGTGCGGTTCCGTGCAATTTCGAGCCAGCACAGAGCTGGTTGACTGATATTTGGATGGCACCTCCCGTCAAAGCTGACCATTCCCTCCTGAAAACTTCAGAATCTGAGCAGCTCCAAGACAGGGTCCAATGATGGTTTCAGGAAGTTGCTAAGTTACTTACCGACACTGTTTCTGAGGAATGATTGGCACAGTCGTAGACAGAATGACGTCGCTCACACCCATTGTCAACTCTAATGCGTTCTGACTCACTAAAAACTCGAATGACATCAAACTACCATGCGTATTGCGTATTGCGTATTGTATTGAACTACTGATGCGTATTGCGTATTGCGTATTCGCTCATTGATGCGTCTTTCATCTACGATAAAAAAAGAGGTGATTGCTCAACCTGAGGTCGTCACAGTGACGTTCTATACATCAAAGTGGCAGGAGCCGTTCAAGGTTATGGTTAGCCTAAACAGGGCCCATCGTTGCTGGGCAATCCCCAACAGGGAGGGGAGGGTCGTATTTGGCCGCCAAGAGGGGAGGGGGTCGTATTTGGGCCGAGAAAAATTTATTTTGACAGTTGATTTTTCTCGCTTCACGGACGTTGTAAAAGAGAGGGGGGATCGTACTTGCTCATTGCTGGAAGAGGGGGGTCTTATTTACTTTCTGGCTTCTCTAGGGGCGGTGGCAATGGTGGGGCTTGTTTGCGTTAATATAGATCCCACCCCGGCAGCAAAATTTTGGGAAAAGGTAGGGAAGTTTTCGGGAAATTTTGGAAAAAGGGGCAGGAAGTTGGGGAAAATCTGATTGAGGGGGGGGTCGTATTGTCTCGCGGCTTTTCCTGTTTCAACGCTCAACAGTCGATTCGATGAGGAGGGACACAGGGCCGAAGAGGGATCATACTAATCCCCTCTTCAAAAAAAGAGGGGGGTCGTACGGACCGACCAAAATCCCCACCCCAATAATGCGCCTGAGCCTAAATTGTTCAAGTGTAAGCAATGAATGAGTGGTGCTGGGTGGCTCCTTTCTATAATGAAGCATCTCAGGAACTTTCCCATTCTTTGTCCATGTGCTTTAACACGTTGGGTTACGCAAACTTTCAGGGCGTGCTCCATAAGCCAGGTGTTTACTTTTCCTTTTTGCACCCCGTCCTTTTCTCCAGGGTCAAGCATCACGTCAAGCGAACTTGCCACGTCGGTGCACCCCTTCCAGGAGCTATCGAGGCCAATGCCCAATTTCTGCGGTTGAGCCTAGCCCACTGGACTTCCACTGAACTTCAATCATTCGAAATAGAAAAGCAGGATTTGTTCTTTCTGGACAGGGTCCACACGAAATACACGAAAGTTATGTTTTTGTTTCCATGACAGCTTCACATCACAACTAATGCTGAAGATTTTCAGTAAACGCAAGATTTCACCTTTCAATGACATAGATTTGTTCAGAAATAACGAATAGCGGGAATCTGCATATTTGCTGTGTTCCTACTCTACCAGAAGTCCGCCCGCCGCGAATTTAGCTCCGAAAGCTTGTTTCATCTACAGTAAAATGGTCCCGCAGCTGTATAGCTCACATCCTCATTAACTATACATCCCACATTCCCGTGCAGGAACCTCGAAAGACTTTCAGTAATCCGTAACGCTATAAAGCCGTCATCCCGGCAGTTGATTAGCCGGCCAAGGGGTGGCGACGCGGCTGCAGCGCGTCACACTCGCGGCGATTAGCTGTTCCAGCCTAATTATTAGGTTGTCCGGAAAGTTCTTAGCGTTTTGTGCACCTAATCTTTGTACATTCACTGCTGATTAAAAACTCATTCTGCCTTGCTTCTCAGTAGCACATCCTGTAGAGAATTTCTTGCGCTATCTGATGGTATAATTGCCGTTTCACCATTGCTTGATAACCCTCTTTTTTCAAGATTTTTTCAAGCATGTGAAAAGAGCACTTCGGACGATTTTTTTCTTCGACTATAAATTGGGGCAATCCGCAATCGAAACAGCTCAACAAATTAACCAGGTGTGGAGGCCCAATAGTGCTAGAGAAAGCACTGTGCCGCAATGGCTCAACAAATGTCGTTCTGGAAATTTCAGCCTTGAAGGTGAACCTCATAGCGATCGACCTAAAGCAATTCTGACGAGGATTTTGAGGGGATTTCGGAGGCTGATCTATCCCAAACAGTTCGAGAGATAGCAGAAGAGCTAGGCGTTGGCAAATCCACTGTTGCAGATGGTCTGGAACGCATTGGGAAGGTGAAAAAACTCGACAATTGGGTGCCACAATCGGAGTGACCGGCAGGAATCGGCACGTCTCGAGGTTCCTTCTTCACTGCTTTTGCGCAAAAGAATTGACCCGTTTTTGAACGGATTTGTCACCTGTGATGAAAAATGGATCATGTATGATAACAGGAGACGTTCCGGACAGTGGTTGGATTTGGAGGAACCACCGAGGTAATTTTCAAAGCCGAACCCTCGCGAAAAAAAAATTCTGGTCAGGTTTGGTGGTCATCGGCTGTTGTAATCCACTATAACTTTTCATCACCAGGCCAAACCATCACAGCAGAACCCTACTGTGAACAAACCGACCAAATGTACCGAAAATATTGTCAGCTGCAGCCAACACTTATCAAAAGAAAGGGTCCGATTCTTTTGCATGACAACGCCGCCCACACGTTTCACAAATCACTATCCATAAATTGAACGAATTGGGAGTTGAAGTTCTACCTCACCCACCATATTCTCTAGACCTTTCACCAACCGACTGTCACCTTTTCAGACATTTTCAGAACTTTCCTGCTGAGAAATACTTCATCAAACAGGACCAGGCAAAAAAGACCTTCGCAGATTTCGTGGATTCTCGACCACCCAGTTTTTTCTTTGATGGGATTTCTCGACTGCTGCCACATTGGCAAAAGTGTGCTGATTCGAATGGTGCTTATTTGGATTAAATCCGATGAGTGTTAAGAAAGTTATGATCGTTTAAAGTTAAACACCCAAAACGCTAAGAACTTTCCGGACAACCTAATAGCAATTCTCTCCCTGGTTTTCACGGTATTTTTTTACTTTCCCCGAAGTAAGTTGCGCTATTGTCTATATAAAGTATATCAAGACCGTGAATTCTTTTGTTTTTGTTCTTGTAATGGTTTTTCGCAATTTTTTCAGGTATTTATTTGATTGTTCGTTCAGTTGTACGCAAAGGTTAGAACCCCGAACGAATGCTCAATCCATGGTTTGGTCGTCGATGAAGACAAGGAACAGCTTAACCTTGAAAAAAAACAGCCAAAAACAGTGGCAAAGTACGGGAAATGACCAAAGCCAGGCGGAACTGCTGATCGCGCACACAGTTCCTACCGTTACGCGTTCGCTGGCTCAAAGCACGCGTCTCCTGCGGCTCTTGACGACCGCCCTAATCCAAGCTGCCGCGCGATGATCGAGCAGGGGAGCCTATGGAGGATGACGGGGTGACAAAGACAACACACTCTCTGGCGCGATGCTGACAGACTCCATGTTTCCCTTACCCTGAAGGGATCTGGTAGTCTTGCATTTACTTTGACATATCAGATTCGTATAGCATTTATTATAACACGCGGAATCCCGTCGCGCCACGGGCGAAACCACAGGACACTGGGCAGAGTCCTTCTAGATATGGCGTTGCTCTGCTAATATATGGAGGTGCACACGAGGCCCTCTCTGATTCCCAAGTTTAATTGCACTCTACGAATCAGCAAATCTCGGAGCCAAGCCCTTGGTCCCTGTGTACCTTCGTCTTTTCGCATCCCTGTGTTGCAAAAAGTGGAGTCACTGGGAATTCACGAAAAGTTCTGTGTACCACAGCCTGCATTCCTCCCACCGGCAGATTCTTCCTCGATTCCTCACAGGAGGGATGAAAACGCATTTCACAAACGCTGGGCGTATGAGGCTCCTCAATGCGACAGGCGTCGGTGAAGGGATTTACACAGGTGAAGAAGTGATACCGGAACAATTTAATGTAAGCCACTTACCTATATGCATCCAAATCCTAGACGTAAGCCTTCACCACGATGAGATTCAGACGCTGTCGTTGTCTCGTCACAACACACAGGAGAAACGCCGTTTTGAGAGGAACGCTTGCTCTAAAAATGGTCCTTTGGTTTTGAACACAGTGATAAACATAAACGAGTATATCATGGTGGCAGGACATGAATAGCTACAATGAGGAAGCCAAAAATAAAACTGTGCAGTTGAGATAGTCGCACTCACGATCAGTCCGGGTGGTATTAATGGGGTGAGCCCAACTGAGACTTTTTCACCACTCCTTTTCTTCCTGAATCTGTCACTGCGCGATCCCCATTGTTAGAGCAAGGAACCCGGAAGGCTTATCACACCCTTCTGGCAGTGCCCAGACTAACTGCGACGCTATCAACCATAGGTTCGTTGGGACAAGGTAAAGAAACTGATGACAACACCAATGGTACTGTTTTTTTGTTGATCTTAAGTGTGGCCCATGAAGAAGGGGATGGGCGTCATGAAGGGGACACACAATAAAGGGAGGAGAGAGCAGAAAGGAGAGAGCTCTAAATGCACGTATACAACATGCCAATCCATGGGTGGGGATTGCTGTGATGGACAGGCACCACCCTGTTCAGCGAGAAGGAAAGTAGGCTTAAAGACAGCTCCCGCGATAAAAGTCTCATGGATAGCTGCTTTCCAATTATGAAACAGCAGCTGATAAGTAATCTCCCAAAGAAAACAGGCAAGAAGCGTTCTCCAGAACAACATAAACAAAATCGCTCCCTCACAGTTACACCTCCCTGCGGTCTCTGTGCAGCCCCTAGCTCACAAATCTCTCTATCACATCTCGCAGTAGTTGATATCATCCAGTGCAAAAGAATACAAAAAGAAAACAACAAAAACGCAGAGGAAAACTCTGGGAAGGAAAAAGGAATTTTATCAACACGGTGTCTGAATTTGTGATTACGGTAGGCGCACCTTTTGTGCGTCGTGGTTTTGCATCACGAAAATTGCGTCACTCGTGTTTTTTACGCGTTTCACCTCGCGAAATGGATTGAATTGAATGTATATACCTCCAATGAGTAAACTGTAATGAAGGAGAGCAGAATTATCCAGGGGCATTAGCAATGCCCGCCGCCCCAACTAAGAACAAGTGAGTGGCCTCCGTCGGAGGACATCTAGCAAGTAAAGGCGGTCCGACTGAGGAGGAGTTAGAACTAGCACTTTGAGCGGCTATAGCAGCCTCCACGCTCACAA